GAGTTGTTCCAACGCCGCCACGGACGGTAAGAAGGAACTGGAGGGGTCGGGTTGGCAGGGATATATATACCCTGGAGCGGGGCGCCGCTCTGTCAGGAAGGAGGGGGCCCTGCCGGCCCGACGGGAGCCGCTAAGGGAAAAAGTTTCCGACGTCCGTGCACGCGGCGCGCGTACACCTAATGTGTAATGGACGTGAACAATCACTCGAAGAAGAACAGTGCCTTCCTGCTCCTCTGCTGTAAGAGGTATTCAGCCTCTTATGAATCCTCTGCATCTGTGACTATACAGAAATCACACTCCCAGTGCTTCCAAATTACTCCGCATGGTGCTTTTCACAGGAATGGAAGCAACACCAGCTACCGAGAGTCGGCATGGGTAGCTGTAGGGGTCTTCATGCTGAGACTAGTGTAGCAAGTGCTGAGGCCTACTCCTGAACTGCATGTACTGTCCTCAGGTCAAAGAACACCCTTACTATACCAAGAGTTGAAAGATCTCTAGGCAGGGGCCTCTGCCTACAGCTACCTCTCAGGCAATCTCAGCACCATGCAGGGCAGGCAATGCCTCTTGGAAGCAACGCCTCATCAGATGAGCCAGAACTCATCACCAACATCTTGCAGTCTATTTTGAGACAGAACTAAGGCTGGCAGGATCAAAAGGCACTTGCTATGAGAAGCTTTGTGTCTGGCTGGCTCCAACAAGGAACTGGGTGTAAGGTTCTGGTAGGGCTACGGTAGTGACAATTGCTGGGGCACAACTGACCAGTAAGGTGAAGGTGTCTCACGCTAGCCTTTATTACCTCAGAGAGCCAAAAGTAATTTGGGGTAGGATATTTCTGCCTTGCCCATAAGGGAAGCACAAGACCCAAGGGTGAGAATGCCTGGTATCTTGAACAGAAGCGACGTACTTAATTGCTTTCCAACGATATAAATTGCAATAGAATCATATGCATCTTCACCTTCCCCATTAAATGAGGGATACATGGTGGCATGGATCCTTCACTCAAAAATGAATTAACAGCTGGAGCGCTATCGCCTGCCACTCCCACTGAGCAGGGATGATATGCATCACCTGCTGCTCTTAATACTCTATAGCAGGGGTCTCAAAGTCCCGGCCCGCGGGCCATCTGCGGCCCAAGAACCTCCCCACTGCAGCCCAAGGAAGAGAGACGCATGCAGCCAGCCATGTCTGCTGCTGGCACAGCCCCCGCAGCTCCCATTGGTTGGGGGAGAGGGACAGAGATACCATCACTAGTCATCGGGCAGAGTCAGCCATGGCGGCGGCATCATTAGTTGCCGGGCAGAGTCAGCCACAGAGGCAGCATCACTTTTTTCACAATGAATATAAACAAGTCAAAATACTGAACACAACTCTCTGATGCATACCTTGCTGCAATCCTGAAGGTTTCAACTGCTCAGTCACTGAGGCCAAACGTCAACAAACTGACAGAACTGAAGCGTTGCCAAGTGTCTGGCAAACACTAAAAACTCTCTGGCAGGCGAAGAATTGTATAAACTTGTATGACAGCTTTATTATTTCTAAGAAATTCAAAATAAAAAATACAATATAAACGTTTTCTTTTCTGAACATCATCTTCAGTGACATTATTGGCCCGCTGGGAGGACTGGAGGACTGGCACTGGCCCTAAGGTAAACTGAGTTTGAGACCCCTGCTCTATAGCTATGGGAATTGTTCCTGAGTCATGCATTGCAGAAGAACTTCTCTTCCTTGCCTAACACCCCCAACCCGATAACTCCTGATCCAAAGCAGGAGTTGGGAGATCAGATGCTCAAGCAGGCACTAGATCTAGTTACATCAAATCCACCGTTACAGATAATGACACTGGTAACTGTCAGGATTGGTGCAATGGATAGTGAGGGTACTGAAGTCCAGATCAAAGGCTCCTACATCAAAGAAGACAGCAGCCCAATAGCACTCAAGGCTACAATCTGCCCAGATGACAAATTGGTGCTTTGAGGCATTGAGGGGGTGCGAAGACCGATGACAAAATTGAAGACACATGCAGACTAGATCAGATCAGACAATATCTGCTGTTGCCTTTGAGAAGCCCCATGTTGAGGTAACATCAAATGTCATTCAAAACAGGGTAATTGGAGGACTCAATAGGGGCATACAGAAGTGCGGAGGACAGCGTTAGCGATGAATAAAGAGATGACTGATGATGCCATAACTGAAGTCCATTTTCCTAAGCCACCTGTGTGGCTGCTAGAGGCACTGAAGGTGAACATGACTCAGGGACACCAATGCATGGGGTCATAAAAGATACTATGACAGCAGCTGTCATGAATACAAACCCTCAGTGTCTTGGCTAAAGCCTTAACTCTACCTGGTGGGGACTTGAAACTCGAGGCTCATTTGGGCCATAAGTCAACCTTAGTTAAGCTAATGCAGGCAGTCAGGATGCTCATTCTGGGATTCTTCGAGCACATGGTGCACCCCAGTCAGTTATGTTCTGTGCCACGGCAGACGAGGTCAGTCAGGGTCAGCATTTCATTACCTTCATGGTACTTCTGGAAGTTGTTGGGTTGTCTTCCTTGATCCATTCCTGCGATAAGAAAAGGATTAAAAAATTAAGAAGGTCTATGCAGCATTGGTAAAAATAGAAAGGGTGAAAGATAGTGAGAAGATGCCCAAAAGAGCCGAAAATAATTACGTTGAAGGCTGCCAAATTCCCGAGGAAACAACAGCGCTTTCTTTTATGGGGCAAGGTCATGGACGGGAAAGAGAAGCCCCAAGAAAGTAATGACACTTTCCAGTGAGTCCCTTTAACACAAACTCACAGAAAGGGTATTTTTCTGAACCAATTAGTAGTTATTTTAGAGAAAATATGAGGAGAGGAGGGAATTTAAATATAAAATTTTTATCCCACTGCCAATTCTCATTTGACGTGCTTACCTTGCTCATAAACCAACTGTGCTATGGTGTGAGAATGACTGACTATAATAGCTGAAGCTACAGAAATAAAATAGGATTTAAGGGTATACAATATATCTGCAGTAGCCTAGACCAGTGGTCTCCAAAGTGGGGTGGGGCAAAATGGTAGAGCCGGCACGGCAGGGGGTGCGTGCTCAAAGTGTTTTTACTGATAGGGGTGCGCGATCAAAAAAGTTTGGAGACCATGGGCCTAGACTGAGCGTCCTGAGAGATACAGCACAGAACAAACAGTCTGAGAGAAAAAGAGTGATGGGGTGAGGAAGGAATACACGCTTTCCAAATCAGGGTGGCTGCAGACCAAAACTATCTCTGACATTAGTTCGAGTAGCCCAACAGGCTGTTCTAATTTACAGCAGCTTTACCAGGGCTGACCTGCAGCTCACAATCTCTGCAGTAGTGAGTGTTACAAACCCAAGCTTTCTTTCTGTGGCTCCTGGCATGGCCCCTATACCAGGGCCTGGGAAGGGGGGCAGCCTTGGGCTTCTTTTATTTGCCCTATACTGTTCCTGTGCCAAGAGAATTCTCTCCTGCATTCCTGCAGCTCCTTCGTGGCCTTTATATGATGCTCAAGGAGGATTCAGATGCTGTAACAGGGGCCACAACCAATTCCAATATGTTTTAAGGAGAATCAGTTGCAATCAATAAAGCTAAAAAAAAATTAAACATTAACAGATAGCTACATAAATAGCAACAGATTGAGGAATGCCCCAAATCCTATTTTTTTATTAGTTAAGAACGTTTTCTATAAATTCTAGTTTAGGGAAAAGAAGCACATTATCTTTAATAAAGTGCTCCAGCTAGAGCTCCTGTAGAAAACCAAAATCTTCTCAGATTTTGTGTTTCTGCCTGCATAGTATATATTGTTCTGAATTTACCATTTTAACTGAAACAATCTCATTTTAACTCAAATG